AATTTAAATTCAAACAAAATAACAATGTATTGATCTATAGAGCTCATAAATGTTTCGTACATCCAGTTACCTGTAAATTTAAAAATGTTGGCACTTTGCCACTTCTCACTGATGATGGACACTGCTACAGTTTTAATTAATGTGTCACCTATCAGATTAATTATGACATTTGACACTACATTTCGTTGTTGCATTCATCACAGTTTCATCAACTCATGACATTAAGTTAATTCCAAGAGTAATTTGTGTGTTTGGAAATAAAGCATGGCGTATTTTAGTAAGTAGGTACATTAATCTAGTCTTTGGAACAAGACACAATTATTGGTATATCTATTATTGTAACGTAAATTGTGACTGAAAATATAAAAAATAAAGGTTCGATACATGTATTTGACGTCATCGTGCCATTCGATCTCTACAGAACGAGGGACCCTTAACTCGATAAAAAAAAAAATCTCCATGGTTACCATTTACGAGATGTTCAATTAAAAACCGATTCACCTGACGCTGTTTTTTATACGGATGTGTAGAAAAAACCTCGATATGAACCGGGAACAACCATTAAATTGTATTCTTTTTTATGTAAAAAAAATACTAATGCTCTCTACAAGTAGCCTAGTGTTATATCATAATTATTATTATAATTAAATACATGTTTTTAAATTTGTTTTTAAATATTGTAGTTTAGCGCCCATTTAAATAATTCTTTGAATTGACTTAAATATTTAAACTTCAACACATTCCTAAAGTCACCACTTTTACAAAGCTCACTTGGAGTATTAATTTATTTGCTGCAGTATTTATATAAAGCCCTAGGGCCAGTTTACATAATAATTTAACTGAGATTAAATTAATCATGCATTTAACGAGGCCTTTAGCGACGTCTGATTGGCGTAGTCAGTCACGTGGCACTTTAACGCCGTATTAAAAATTTAATTGGAGCCAAATATTTAATTGAGCTTGTATAAACCGGGTCTTAAATGTGAAATTGATGATGCCTCAATAATTGTTACACGTACAGTCCAAGCACTATTTTTCCATACCAATACAGTTTAAAAGTTAAAGACTTTAAGAACATAAACTATCGCTTAAAGTTTGGCAGTGGACAAACGGCGAACAGGAGCGGATTTGATTTATTCTGTAACAAATTTAATTTAATTTAAAATTGTTGGTATGTTATATGTTGTTTTTTGACTTTGAATATCAGGAAACTTTGTTCTCTCCATACGTGGCTACTGAATCTCGATCGATTAACTATCTTTTATACATCTAAATACAAATATTAACGAAAATATATTTACCTTCTGCATAAAGTTGCTGACGTTCTGTAATATAACTACTTTTATTTTCGCTTCAGTGGTAATTTCTTATTTTTTCGAAATTCTGAGTGAAAAACTCAAAAAATCTAATATTATACAAGGTGTTTCTTTCATTTTTTTCAGTTTGTTTGAGCAAATTTGTATAATTTTAAAAAATCTATGTGATGGCAACCTCACATTTTTATTATCATTTCCTGTAGAACCGGAAATGACGTCAACTTTCTTTTTATGGAACACTAGGTATATTTTTTCATAAATGGAAAAATTGACTTTTTTTAAATCAAAAGCAACCAATCTAAAATCAATACCTGAAAAGTTATTTAATAAAATAGACGACAAAATTCACTTATTCACATAAGTGATCTTTTAAAATGATACAAATTTTCTCAAAGAACTATGTGTTTATCTTTAAAAATAAAAAAGTTAGAGGGGTTGTGTCAAATAAAAGAAACACGTGGCATAGTGCAAACTGATTTATTTCATTCAACGTCTGAGAAACGGTTCATTTAGTCTCTCTGAAATTTTACAAACACTTAATCTTATTGTCAGCGTTATTTTATAGATCAAAATTAGTAAACAGTACAATACAATATATGTATAGCATGGTGCAAAATAACTGCAGAAAATTGTATAAAAAAAAATGGTGCGTCAGCATCAACGGTAATTTTGAATAAAATTTCTCATTTTTGTCTGTAGTTTGACGATTTCCGCTCCTTTAATTTTGAAAAAAATCAATTAATTTGGGCATTGGTCAGGAAAATCTGCAGGTGGTAGTAATCCCGCCAGACAGTTGCGCGCCAACTACCTGAAAGGTAAGGGACAGTTGCGCGCAGCGGTCAGAAAGATTTGCATATAATTTGAATGGTTAATACCATAAATAATTGTTGCCAAGAATTGGTCCATAATTGTTCGAATTGCCGATAATTTTCTTACTAGCGAATACTTTACGGGTCCTTTTGTTAATAAAAACACCTAATATCAATTTTACTTCGATTAAAATTGACCGAGAACTCATTTATGTATAGCTCTTAAATTTTATACCAACAGGTTCATGCTGCAAAAAATAAAACAATTTGTTGAGAAATTATTTTATTTTTTTTTAAATATATAAGGAAGGAAGCTATGTACCTGTGGGCAATGACCACCGTTATAATCCCCTTTTTGGGCTCAAGGGTCCTTGGGGATTAGACCTACCACATGGGGTAAACTAACCGCGGCGCGCAAGTGACCAACACCTATTAATTTATCTAAGAATCTTATGGATGCCTGAAAACGTCCAAGGAACCATTATTACAAAAGTATATCAAGTCTAAATGCACATGGACGCAATTTTGACGATTTACTTTAATCTAATTCCTATTGTCATTTCCTTGCGTTCATTTTTAGTGGACTTTTATTTAATTAATAAAGTTGTTAATATTGAAACGATTAATTATTATACATATTGTATTTGCTGATGATTATGTGAGCACATTCAAAATGTTTCCATAAAAACGTTTATATCTTAAAAGATGTGATAATGTATATAAAGTCTAACAAGTTTCAGCTAAAATTCATGCACCTTGTTTGACCTACTATTTTTTTTTGCGACAAGTTTAGAACACCCTGTATATCATACTTGTCGAATTAAAATATATTCATAAATTAATAAATCTTAAAAAACGTTTGAGTTATTAAGTAATTTTTAAAATACAGTTTTTCTAGTGAGACTTATTTCTATATGACGTCATTAATTCCAAAGATATGACATCAAATGCATTTTTTTAATGGATATATTTTTTCTACAAGTTTGAAAACAAATTTAGACTATTTTTTAAAAATTAATTAATAAACACCTATCTTTGGCTGCTTGTCAAATATTCACATTTTCACCCAACACAATGTTATTCTTAAATAACAATCGTCAAGAGTTGAGTATGTAATTGTTGATCTACTAAAACGAAAAATAATTTTGTCTACGACTATTTTTTGTAAATACGATTATTTAGAGTTTTATATCGATATTAAATGAAGGTTTAGTGAAAATATATTTTAAGGTACATATTATCTGAATCTACAGGGTGTTTATTAAACATGGATCAAAAACGCAGGGGGTTATTCCTTAAGTTATTTTAAGATTTTTTTGCCCTTGGATGATTTTCAAAAAGATGCTTTGTTTCGAAGTTACAGAGCAGTAAAAACTTTCAGAATAAAACAATATTTTATTAATTCATATTACATGTAAATGCATATTCTTCATCTACAAAAACTGCTGAAAATGGTTACATCCAGCTGATTGCCGAACTTTTCAAAAAATACTAGGGTTATTTCTTATTGCTTACCATAAATAACAATCCAAATCACCTTGCCACATATTTAGTAAACATCCTGTATAAAAATATGTATACTATTCCGTGGAGACAAAGAAAACTACTTGATGTGGTAGAGTATTTTATGTAAAATTAATACATTTGTAAATATTTAAGTTAAAGTCGTTTCGTCTTGATTTTTTTTAGCTAAAAAGCTAATGACGTCGTTTGGTGACATCATATATATGTATCCTAACTTTAGACTTTGAACTTAAAAAAACTGAACATTTTTTGGTGTCATTTTCCTATTTTCTTGATGTAAGAGTACTGTAGCGAAATAAATATTACAAAAAAACTCAAAATAATTTGGTAAAAAACTTTAAAAAATCTATGGTTTCTGTATAGAAAACACTGTGATTTTATTTGAAAAAATGAACCACTTTTCATAAAATTTGTTTTAATTATATTAAATCCGTAAGCATCACCTGTGTAAAAACGGCAAAGCTTTGATGTGTCTTACGTCATCCAGAAGTTCGGTTGGAAGTGGCAATGAAAAATTTTATGTTTCGAAAAGTTTATCAAATTTATATTTATAATATCCGCTGTAGACGTTAATAATAATCATAGTTACAATTCATAGCAACCAATCAACACGAAGTCACGTGTAGTATAGAAAGTTTTTTGAGAAGGCGGCACATAGAATAAGTGCCATTTTCTAATTAAATTTTCTTTTTAATAAATAATTGTTTATCCATTTAACCAATGATACTTCATGAAAGAGAAAACAGCTTTACCATAAGTTTTAAAGATGGGATGATGTATTATATTCCTTAAGCGACTTAAATATTTATTAAAAAGGAGGTTTAGATTTATTTAAAACAGTCACAAAATAATTGCCCTTCTGTTAGTTTGCACGTCCCACACGTAAACCGTTCTTTAAGTTAATGCGGCCTTAGAACGTGGTCCTATTAGTTTAATTCCTTTGTTTAATTTAATTAATAAGTCTAATTTCACGTGCATCTGTTAAGCAGTTCTCTAATTTTGAACCTTCAGTGCACATCACAACTGCCCTGAAGGATGTAACTATTCACTGGTTACATTGAGTTTGCACATAGTTTAACTCCAGCGAGTTCAGCCACTGCTGAGGTTAATATCGTTATGATGATAATAACGTTATTTAACTGCGGAAGTTATATTAATCTACAAAATGCCTTAAGCTCACGTACTTAAAATAGTTAGCGATGCTATTTAATTAGCTTCTTTTAATCTAGGTACGTATGTTCTAAGTTTAAACAAAAATTAACCATCGCTTGATCTAGCTGCGTAATTATAATTACAATGAGCCTCATTAATTCAGTCTTGTTCCGGGAAAATAAAATAAAAGACTTCTTACCTTCCACCAAGTGATGATAGCTGGTGGCCTGGATCCCCTGCATCTGCAAGTAATATTGTAACGCTTCCCTGCACTAAATTCGGGATTATTTCCGAGTAACGTGACCTCGAGGGGTCTCAGGTACATGTCGATGGCGACTCTGACTACGAGAGGAGGTTGTAGTCTGCTATTGCTGACTTCACAACTGTAGATGGCGAGTAAGTGTGGCCTTATGAGCTTGTCAATTTTCAGCACACTCTGCGATTTTCTTCGGTCGGGGAAGTACTGAGAGTGATTTGTCACAAGGTCGCCTTCTCTCCACCAAGAGACCTGAAACAAAGTCGCGACAGGTTAACCGATTGGACAACATAATAATAGTAGGCTCTTTGTTCGTTTAGCGTTATTCTAGTTTAGTTACCTATATTTAATAATACTGCGCAATAATTCTAATGAATAGACCGCGTTTGCTCGCTCCTGTGTAATAATAAGGCTATTTGGTCTAATATAGCACACGGCTCTAAAGAGCGATATAACACATGAGTGATAAATACAATAAAGGTATTACTCTATTACTAGTATGTCTAAAACAGGAAATATTGAAGTAGCTAGATTTGTAGCAGTGCAACGTTTTTCCCCACCTTCCCCTAAATGGAATAACACATACATATATTAGAAAATATTTTCAGATAATGCATATAAATGAGCTTTGTCGAAATGTATCAAAACATGTTTTCAGCAAAGTTACCGAAAACGAGTAATCTTCCGTCAACAAATCGTATTTCAGTATTAACGTTCATCAGCATTCATACAAACATTATTGCGCTGTATGTGATCGTGAATTCCCTTAGAGATTTATGTTATTTTTCCTTTATAATTTTTAATGCTTTTGTTAACGGTTAAATTAGGAAAACACGTTCAGGCTTCATTCAGAGCATATTTTCAATACAAAATTCACTTTATTACTTCCCGATCGTAAGCTAAGAAAGTATTGTAATCCAGTTAAACAGACCACCGTTTTGTGTTTTATATTTTAGGTATACAAATTTTTCAATTTCTCGATTTTTTCTCTTTTCGGTTTCATAATTTTCCGGTGATTCAGTTTTACGATTTTTAAATTTTTTAATTTTCGATATTTTTAAATTATCGATTTCTCGATTTTTCCATTTTTCAGTTCTGATTGATACACATATATATTGGAAAATTTCATTTTTGAAAAGGTCGTCTAAAAATTCTCAAAAAAATTATCTTGATGTGCTGATTCCAAAAATATGGCTTGTTTAGAGTAACAGAACAATATTTTCAATAAATTAGGTGTGAAATCCGAATTATTTGATATTTTTAAAAATTATTGCGGCCCCAAATTTTCAATGAAATAGATTAAGTTAAATTTGGAAAATCGTCGAAAATGAGTCGAAATATACATGGGGGGGGGGGCAACATACGTAGTGAAAAATTATTTTTGAAAAAGTCGTCTAAAAATTCTCAAAAATTCGGAGTGAAATTCACATTTTTTTTAATTTTTAAAAATTACGATATTTCAGGAAGAGGTTGTACTTATCGAAGAAATGGAGCCGCTAAAAATTCTTCCAAAATATAGCATATTTGGGATCACGGAGCAATATTTTCGAAATATTCGGAGGGAAATTCGAAAAATTCAAAAAAATTTTAAATTGCGTTATTTCAGTCGGCTATTCTGAAAAAAACGATTGGAGATATCAATGAAATGAGGACGGACGTGACTTCTGCTGCCCGAAATCGACAAGAAAATGTATTTAGTTAAATTTCTAAAATCGTGTAAAATGGGTCGAAATTTGCATAAAAACACATAGTGGAAAATTTTAATTTTAACGTGCAGAAAATTTAAACGTGTTTATGGTCACGGAGTAATAATATTTATCGAATCTATCTATTGTCTCTTATTGTTTAACGAAGCTTTATTTCTGTTTAATAAAATTAAGGTTTATCTCTTGAAGTTCGTTTCTAGCAATGAATGAAGTTGTTATTCAATTCCCTTTCAGATTTTTGGGAAATTCGCTAATCCGAACACACTTTTCCCGAATTAATTCGGATTTACAAGGTTAATTACACTGTAAATAATTTTTAAAATTTGAGATTTTTAGATTTCTCGATTTTTCGGTTGTGCGCTATTTCTCTTTCCTTCGATTTTTTGACTACTAGGTTTTAGATTTTTCGGTTGTTGAATTTGGCGATTTCTAAGTTTAAACAAAAAGTAACCATCTAGCTGCGTTATAATTACAATGATAGTTGTAACACTTTTCGATTTAACGCTTTTTGTTATTTAAAATTTTTTAATTTTTCAATTCCTAACTTTTCGAATTTTCGATTTTGGGCTATTTCGGTTTCTCACATGTTTCAATTTTTGACATCGATTTCTTGATCTTTTGATGTATCGATTTCTCAAAATTGTAGAAATAACAATTCTTAGACTTCTCAATATTTTCTCCGCTTTTCGATTTCTTGATTTCTAAACATTCCATTTCTCAATTTTCCGATATTTCAGTTTTACAATTTTTCAATTCTTCGATTCTCCAATTTTCTGATTTTTCGGTGTTCCAGTTTTTGACGTTCCTAAATTTTCGATTTTTGGATTCCTCAGTTTCTCGATCAATCAATTTTTTGATTTATCTGCTTTTTGATTTCTCGATTTTTCGACGTTTCGACTTTTTGATTTCTTTGTTTCTCGAATTCCCACTTTTAGATTTCTTGATTTCTCGATTTCGATTTCTCGATTTTCCAATTTTTCGATTTTTCAAGTTTTCGATTTATGGATTATTTTTTAATTGTGGATTTTACAATTTTTCAATTTCTAACTTTTCGATTTAGGGTTATTTCGATTTCTCAATTTTTATCAAATTTTTGACTTTTTGAGTTTTCGATATTTTGATGTTTCGATTTCTCAAAATTGTGGATATAACAATTTTTTATTTCTCTATATTTCCTATTTTTGATTTTGCGGCTTTTCGATTTCTCAAGCTTCCGATATTTCAGTTTTATGATTTTTCAGTTCATCGATTCTTCAATTGTCCGATTATTCAGTTTTTCAATTGTTAAAGTTTCTCAATTTTCGATATTTGTCTTTCTCAATTTCTCGATTTTTTTGTTTATCCACTTTTCGGTTTCTCAATTTTTCGATGTTTCGACTTTTTGATTTCTTATTTACATATTTCTCTGTTTCTCGAATTTTCAAAGTTAAAATTTCTTGATTTCTTAATTTCTCGAGTACATTTTTACGTTTTTGAATTTCTAATTTTTCAATTTTGCTTTATTTCGTTTTCTCAATTTTTCGAATTTTTAATTTTTCGAGTTCTCAATCTTTTAATGTTTCGATTTCTCAAAATTGTACATGTAACAATTTTTCGATTTCTCGATATTTCGAATCTTCAATTTTGCGGCTTTTCGATTTCTCAATTTTCCATAGTTTCGGTGTTACGATTTTTCAGTTCTTTGATTCTTCAGTTTCCGGATTTTTTAGTTTTTTAAATTTTTTACGTTTCTAAATTTTCAATTTTTGGATTTCGCAATCTCTCGATTTTTTGATTTATCTACTTTTCGATTTCTCGATTTTTCGGTGTTTCGACTTTTTGATTTTTTTATTTTCCTACGATTTTGGGTTTTTTCGATTTCTCAATTTTTTAAATTTTTGACTTTTCGATTTCTCAAAATTGTGGATATAACAATTTTTTATTTCTCTATATTTCCTACTTTTGATTTTGCGGCTTTTCGATTTCTCAAGTTTCCGATATTTCAGTTTTATGATTTTTCAGTTTTTCGATTCTTCAATTGTCCGATTATTCAGTTTTTCAATTGTTAACGTTTCTCAATTTTCGATTTTTGTATTTATCCACTTTTCGGTTTCTCAATTTTTCGATGTTTCGACTTTTTCATTTTTTATTGTCATATTTCTCTGTTTCTCGAATTTTCAAAGTTAAAATTTCTTGATTTCTTAATTTCTCGAGTACATTTTTACGTTTTTGAATTTTTAATTTTTCAATTTTGCTTTATTTCGATTTCTCAATCTTTTAATGTGTCTATTTTTCAAAATTGTAGATACATACAACAATTTTTTGATTTCTCAATATTTCCAATTTTCGATTTTGCGGCTTTTCGATTTCCCAATTTTCCATAGTTTCAGTGTTACGATTTTTCAATTCTTTGAATCTTCAGTTTTCGGATTTTTTAGTTTTTAAAATTTTTTACGTTTCTAAATTTTCAATTTTTGGATTTCTCAATCTCTCGATTTTTTGATTTATCTATTTTTAGATTTCTCGATTTTTAGGCGTTTCGAATTTTTGATTTTTTTATTTTTTTATTTCTCTCTTTTTCGAATTCCGACGTTTAGATTTCTTGATTTCCCGATTTCCGATTTCCGGATTTCTCAATTTGTCGGTTTTTCAATTTTTCGATTCCTACATTTCTCGATTTTTCAAATTTTCGATTCATCGATTTTTTTAATTGTAAATTTTTAAATTTATCAATTTCTCACTTATCGATTTTGGGTCATTTCGATTTCTCAATTTTTCGAATTTGTGACTTTTCGATTTCTCAATCTTTTAATGTTACGATTTCTCAAAATTGCAGATATAACAATATTTCGAATTTCCGATTTTTCGGCTTTCCGATTCTCAATTTTCCATTGTTTCAGTGTTACGATTTTTCAATCCTTTGATTCTTCAGTTTTCCGATTTTTCAGTTTTTTCAATTTTTTACTTTTCTAAATTTTCAATTTTTGGATTTCTCAATCTCTCGATTTTTTGATTTATCTACTTTTCGATTTCTCAATTTTTCGGCGTTTCGACTTTTTGATTGTTTTATTTTTCTATTTCTCTCTTTTTCGAATTCCCACATTTAGATTTCTTGATTTCCCGATTTCCGATTTCCGGATTTCTCAATTTTTCGATTTCTGGATTTCTCGATTTCTCGATTTGTCGATTTTTCAATTTTTCAATTCCTGGATTTCTCGATTTTTCAAGTTTTCGATTCATCGATTCTTTCAATTGTAAATTTTTAAATTTTTCAATTTCTCACTTTTCGATTTTGGGTTATTTCGATTTCTCAACTTTTCGACTTTTTTGATATTTCGGTTTCTCAAAATCATAGATATAACAATTTTTCGATTTCTTAATATTTCGAATTTTCGATTTTTCGGCTTTTCGATTTCTTGATTTTTGAACATTCGATTTCTCAATTTTCGCATGTTTCAGTTTTACGATTTTTCAGTTCTTCGATTCCTCAATTTTCCGATTTTCCAGTTTTTTAATTTTTGACGTTTCTTAAATTTTCGACTTTTTGATTTATCTGCTTTTCGATATCTTGATTTTTCGGCATTTCGACTTTTTGATTTTTTTATTTTCCTGTGTCTCTGTTTCTCGAATCTTCAACGTTTAGATTTCTTGACTTCTCGATTTCTGGATTTTTCGATGTATCAGGTTTTCAATTTTTCGATGTTTGGACTTTCCGATTTTTCGATTCTCTAATTTTCCTATTTTCAATTATTCAAATTTTTAAATTTTCAATTTTTCGATTGTGTTTCATTTTTCGAAGTTTCAAATTTTTCATTTTTCTGTTTTTGAATTTTCAATTTTTCGAGTTTACGATTTTTTTATTCGATTTCTTGATATCTCGGTTTTCGATTTTAAAAATTTTTGATTTCTAGATTTCCCAATTTTTCAAGTTTTTGATCTTTCAATTTTGGAAAATTTTCAAGTTCTGAGTTTTTCAATTTTGATATTTTATTTTTTGATATTTTGATGCTTCGATTTCTCGATCTCTCCATATTTCGTATTACGGTTTCTCGTGTTTTCAGATTTTCCATTTTTTAGTTTTTGATTTCGCAAATAATTACAGAATTTTTAAATGAACTTACAAATTTTACCGTGTGTCTCATAAACTTGTTTTATATTTAAACTGTGTATAATGACGTGTCGAAATTGTGTACGCCAAAATTGAGAAGGTTGTTTTCAGCGAAAAGTGAAAGTATTTTTTTTTTATTATTGTTACAGACCATTATCTAAAAAATATGTATGTATTGATTTTGACGATCAAACACAGGTTGTTTAATTTCCTTAAGTGTTGGGAGAGAAGTAATGCTATAATTATTATTTATTGCTGTATACGAAAAACAATATTGACACGCACGCATCTAGTTGTTGGGTCATACATCACCTTCTGTAACTATTGTCTTTATTTTTACTTATACTCAACAAAATTATGAAGGAATAATTAAAATTTATTATTCATAATGCTTTTAAAGCACTTATTATGTGTGTAATATTCTGTTTGTTTGTTCATTTTTCCCCAGTCTTGAATAACCACATAATAATCTCATAATCAACATGGTAGACACTTCAGACTATAATTATTGTACACCCACTAGTCGTTAGAGTGCATTTCGTGAAATTTATCCATTAGTTTCCACGAACTTTTGTGAATTAAAATAGCCGTGTGTGTACTCAGCTGTTTACAATAAGACAGACAGGATCATTATCCTGTTTACGTTCGAAAAATTAAATATCCATCAGGTACACGTAGCTGCAGTATTGTTATTGTAATCCATGTATCGGAAACTGGAACAGCAATATAGCACTACAACTCTGGTAAACAATAAACCAACAACAGAATTTATTTCAAAAACGTGTGTAACAAAATCAATCAACATTTCAATGAAAAGCAATTCTTTTCCATTTAAACTTGAAAGTATTTCAATAATCAAATCAGAGTATTTGTTGACACTAGCTGTCGATACATAACGCAAACGTGTAATTAATGAACCAGATTTGTATTTGAATAATGTTCAATTAACAAAAATTTCATTAATTATTGCAAATGCAATTAAATTAAAATCACTCATTTTTAATCAAACGCTGTGTAAACAAGTTATTACTCAAAACGAGTTTAGTATTAATTAAAAGTTAGACCTTAAACAAACATGTATTTCATTTATAATTATAATAACTACTAATTTTTATTATGACTCCTATTAGAAATTTATCCGCATTTAATTACATTTAACAACATGTACAATTCCTAGAAACCGTTTACTGATTACTGAAACCCAATTTAAACCTTTTCAGCGGTATCAGTGTAGAACTAGTTCCAACTTTCAACTCGTTTCCTCCGCATAATAGTGTTATGTTTGAATAGAACCTTACTTTGGCCAAGGGCTTGCCACCAGTGGCGGTGCAAGTGAGCGTTAAACTGGCTCCTTCAGCGTAGGCCGTTGTGATGCCATTTTTCACCATGGTGAAGTCATCATTCACTTGGACACCAGTCGGTGGCACTGTAACAAATAAAAAGCGGTCAGCTGAGCTGGGAGTCGAAATTGTTCGGTATGCCAGACCGGATCGATCTGGCACGGTGCCGAACTCTTTGTTTTCTGGATCACCGCAAACTTTGCCAGGATTAAACCCATACCTGCGTGAAATATGGAAACTGCTAGTTGTAGTCGGGTGCAAACGCAGAAAGAAAAATATTTCGGGGAGTTAAAATTCCGGCGGGGCATTTTTGTGTTAGATAACACCGTGGTTAATTTGAATTTGGGGTGTGTTTAACTATTTCTAAAACTATTGGCGATTACGTAGTGGAGTGCGGAGGATGGTAAAGGAAGGCGGGGAAGAGCGCCAGATGGGGTACCCACAACGTTAGGCAGTTCAGATATTGAAATAACAGTTGAAACAAAACATAAATTTAACCCTCAAGCTGGACAATTATTTTTGGGTAGCACCTTTAGGTGATCAAGAACATTTGTGCCAGTTTGTAGATAAAACATTAATAATATTCACTTAATTTCTAACCTTTATGACCGAACAAGGGAGGTCAAGGACAAAGTAAAAATGTCAATATCGGATATTTTTTTACGATGAATACACAGACTATACATTTAGTTTAGATATTTTTCTAAAGATTATATTATATTTTAACGGCGACATGTACGTATTATAATAAAATTCTCTACAGGTTTCGCAACAATAAAATTGTAAAGAGATTTTTCACGTTTGGAAACGTCAGATTTAGATAATATTTGTCACATCAGACTATCACTGGAGATTTAAACTTGTCGCTATTTACATAAATTGACAAGTAACATCAATCTGATTATCATTCGACATGGCGGAAAAATTAAGTTATCAAATAAATGTGACAATTCAAAACTAAATCAGAAATAGAAGCATATAACAAAATACAATTTTAGTGACGATTTCAGAAATTTCAGCTCTGACACGGTTTTTTTTTTAATAATTATTTACCATTTAGAAAAATTGTAAACGTATTTCTTAGCTATATATAGAGTGTCCCAATAATTTGCTAGTGGACGATTATCCTCAACAATTGAAAAATTTCTTTAACACAGTCCAGTACAAACAGTTATCTTTACAGTTATATTCAGATATACAAGATGTTCCATTCAGCCGACACTCACCAAATTTGTTTTTTGTTAAATGAAACGCCCTATATATTTTTGAAGATTTAGATTCCTTATACGACATAAAGAAATTATATCAAATCTTTTAATGAATGGAAAATTTCATGGAAAATATTTTTAGTTAGATTAGATTCTTAAATGAGTTTTTCATTTATTAACATTTCCCCTCTTGTCTTTAACACGTTTTATTTTGTTCCCACATAATATGAAATTTATTCTAACAATAAGAAAATAAAGAAAAAAAGTAAGTAACCTAAGTAAATTTAGCATAAAAAAAAACTTACTAAGAGATAAGTTTGAAAATACTTACTATAAACTACAGAGTGTGCACCATTTGGATAATATATCGGAAATTAAAATTTGAAAAATGCCCTATACCGGGTGTATGGAAAATGGCGGATTAACTCTCCGCTACGCTCTTAACAATCAACTGGTGATTCTGGAAAAAATAGTAAAAACATTCCATCTCACATTTTGGTTGAATTATAATAATTTTAAAATTAGTTATTTTGCCACGTTTAACAACTAAACAGCACATTCATTGTCACAATAACTAGTAATAAAACTTTTAGTTAATATTTCTCTCGACCATGACCATGTTTAATTACCATTTCCGTTAGAATGTACAAAGATATGGTTGTGTTGTTTTTGTAATAACTTTAGGTCCCCTGGGTTATTATTTTCGGATAAATTTAAAGAAATCTGGTGTTTTGTTGGATAAACTTGAAAAAATATTTTCAGATTTGAGTGATTTACTTTTTACGAATATGAAAATGTCTTGAGTTCCGCAATGTTTGGGTACCCATGGTGTATTGTTTTGAGAGCCCCTAGACATTTTTTTGTAAAATATTTAAAACCTTTTTGGGGGACTTTGGTGTTCTATTTTTGGAAAATTCTCACCTGACCTGTTTTTGAGATAATTTTGGGACCCAGTTTTTCTGTTTTGAAAAATTTAAAACAATTTTGAGGTTCTAGGTATTTCTGTTTGGAAAGAATTTGAAACTGCTTTGGAGCCTCTAGTATCTTTTCTTATTATAATTTAATTAAATTTCTTACAGGATACTTCATTTGCTAAAATCAGTCTTATCTTACCAGGCACTAGCCCCGCCCACCCCCCCTCTCTTTTCTTAGAGGGTATTTCATTTGCCAAAGTCCGTCTTATCTTAGCAGCTACTAGCCCCGCCCACTACGAGCTTACTTATATGCACAAGGCAGGAATTTTGAACATCTGTAGTGTTTAGTTAGTTCAGCTTTAATGTTAATAGATTTTCTTTTGTTGTTTTTGTTTTTGTTTGTAATTTATAAATGTCTTATTAAACTGTTTTTTTTTTGGTTTATTTATTAATGAAAAATAACAGCCTGTTTTATTAATAACAATTAATGACTAGGTACTGGTTTTTATGGTTATTGTCCTAAAATTAGTTCAATTAGTAGTAGTGAGTTACAATTAATCGCACTATTTAAAAATTTAATCATTAAAAACTATGAAGCAAAACTTTTGCTTCTATCTTTCGGTCATTTTGAATTAGTCCTAATTGTTATAATTAATCAAGGTAATAATTACTACGTTAACAAAATTAGTAATATAAATGTAACTCAGGGTCATACGCAGGTGTATCCTGACTAGATAATGTTCAAGTTTTAGCAAATAACAGTCAGTTATTAAATTCTCTTACATAATTTTAATTAATTATCCCAGATTTGTAATTCCATTTAAAAGACACCATTTAGAAGTAATTAAGGATAATAGAACTTAATAGCGTAAACGATGTAATCCTATCTTGAATTAGAATTTAGATTCAAAACATAATTTAACGACAGCTGAAATAATTAGCTAAAATTAGTCACAATTAACAAAAAATCCCAAAGATATAAGATATAAGTAAACTTAATCGTAATTATGTCATCGAAACAAACATTACTGTATCAAGAGCCATTTTAAGTACTTCTACATTAAAAATGTAGCATTATAACTTCATTTCATTCAAATCGCCACTAATTAAATTACGATAATTAAATATATTCCAAGTAAGTACTAGAAATCAGTGTCATAATTAAATGACCTTAAATGAAAAATATCAATATTTACTTGCTAGTATAAATATTAATTTTTACCTCCATTAGTAGTAGTGAGTTACTTTTGTTTTTATTTTCATCGATTCTGAATTAGTTCTAATTATTGTAATTAGTCAAGATAATAATTATTCCATTTAAGAAATATCGCAATATAAACTCAACTTGGTGTCATAATCAACTAGATAATGTTTAAAATTTTAGTAATGAATAGTTAGTAATTGCATTCAATTATATAAGTTGTATTAATTATCCCAGATAATAAATATCAATTAGTAAACATAATTGTAAAAGTAATTACTAATAAAGGAAATTAATACCGTAAACGATGTAATCCTATTTCCAGTTTTATTATAGATTCGAAACTTAATTTAACTGTAGGTGAAATAATTATGTAAACTTAGTCATAATTAGTAAAAAAAATACAAACATGTGGGTAAAATTAACCACAATTATTTCATCAAAACAATAATTATTGTATCAAAAACCATTTAGTTTGTACAGTAAAAATTTATGTAACTTAAATTCATTCAAATCGCGAGTAATTAAGTTAGCGATAATTGAAAACATTCTAATTACGTACTAGAAATTAATATCATAATTAAATAATTTTTTTATGTTTTTTCAAAACTTAATTCAACAGTAGCTGAAATAATTACCTATAATTAGTCACAATTAACAAAAAAACACACAAAGATCTAGGTAAAATTAATCATAATTCATTTATCCAAACAATAATTAACAATTACGTGCTTGTAATTGAATACCTTAATAAATACTTAAATGAAAAATATCAAGATTTACTAAATATAAGTCTCCTAGTATAAATACTAATTTTTGCTTCAATAAGTAGTGATGAGATACAATTAGTTGCACTATTTAAATAATTCAACATTAAGCTATGAAACAGAACTTTGACTAGATAATGTTAAAATTTTAGTAAGAAATAAATAGTTTTTTTTAATTGTATTAATTAATAATTACCCCAGATAATTTATTTATAATGAAATTAATTAAGGATAATGGAAATTAATACCATAAACGTCGTAATTCTATCTCCTATTACAATTTAGATCCAAAACTTAATTTAACCACAGTTTTGTAAAATTAGCCACAATTAACAAAAAAATTAAAAACACTTTTTGTGCTTGTGCTTGAATACGTTAGATAATTTTTGTGCCAGTTCTTATTTTCTGCCTAAAAACCGTACACTTTTCTACCACAGCTTTCTCTTCAAATTAGTCATGCTTAGGAAGGTCTCGTATATAAAATAAAAGGTGGATTTCAGTCACCATCGTTACTAAGAAATCAGAAAATAAGCCGCAGGTATTCATGCATTAGGTGCGTGCAGTGTTGTCAATTTTACTTTTATGAAATTACTTTTTTTCGTAACATATATCATAAAAATTTTTTATTATGTTTTTGGGACTTCCGACACCCCCGTACATAACGTATTAAAGAGTTAATCCGCCATTTCTCAGACACCTGTAGATAAGTTCAAATACTCTTTCATGTTTCCTCGACATTTCATGACTCCTACAATATGAAACAATAGGACTGCCGTTTCCGTATGTCGTCTGTGTTTATTTTTATTAACATTTTTTAATTCCCGAAACCACCGGACTAACTGTTGTCAAATTTTATATATTTCAGGAGTCTTGATAATGTAACTTCAAAAGTTCGCATTGTATCTGGTATTTAAATTTTATAAAACAACATATTCTTGTATTTGTGGTTTATGAATCCGCCTTGAGATTTATTTTCGTAAAGTAAATCGGTATTTG